CTTGCCTCATTCAAAACTGAACTTAAAACTTATCTCTTCAAATTAGCATATTCTTTGTAAATTATTTTATTTTGTCGTTGTCTTTGTCGTTTGTTTACTAGCGCTTAGAACAGATTTGTATTTGCGCTTTATAAATAAATATTATTATTATATATTATTATTATATTATTATTAATTGAAGTTTATAATAGTTAATTTTGTTTTGAAATAACGTTAAATGAATCAAAGTTACAAGGAAATATTCCCTCGTTTTATTTTTAAATTGCTTCATTTACACAAACATATGACTTACAAGATATCAAAGTTTAACAAAATTCTGTGGCACAGATTTTGAGAAAATAATGCAGACATTTTATAACCTTGATTTTGCTCACTTTTCATACACAATACGTTTAAATATGTGGAACCAAGTGACTTTTCATGCAAAACAGAATCAATAGTATGAATTGTGTTTATAGAGCTTGCACCAACAAACCAACCCATTGGACATTTTTTGTCTTTCTTGGTACTAATTTATTTGATGATTAATTTTACAGATGTGAAAGAAGCTAGTAAAAAAGATACAGATTTATTTGTGGTATCCAAAGTGAGTCTTGCTGTACCAGTATTACAAAAACTGACCAAACTGAGAGAAAGTCTTAGTAGAAGAGCACTTTATGCTGATCCTGTTTGCTCCTATAGCAATGAAAAGAATAAAAAGATGGAAGAGTATGATAAAGTCCATCCAGAATACAAACCTGAATGTGCTTCAGATAATAATCCTAATAATAGAATAAGGAAAGCTGGCATAAAAGAATTGAGTGAATGTGATGCAGATAGGGATACAAATAGTTCATTGCAAGACAATACTGTATTTTCCATTTCAAGTGACTCTTCGCTTGAGAATGTGTCAAAAAGTCTAGGGTCTGACCAGACTCCAGTTGATATGGATACAGAAGAAGAATGTTTAATGGAAGATAAAAAGACTTGTGGTATTGAAGATGAATCAGATAAAGATGATCAAGATACCAACTATGTCACCATGTTAGACACAGAAATAAGCTGTGAAACTGAATCAAATGGTAACAATAAGAGCATAGACAAAGGCATTGATCAGAAACCTTGTATACCACTTCCTGGGACCGATGACTGTGAGAATTTTGATCAAGAAGAGGAAAGGAACAAAAATACTGATCAACCAGATGACATATTGAGAAATGTTATGGACAAAGGGCCAATCAAAATGGACTTGCATTCTTCTTCTTATAAGACACTAACAGACACTGAAGCTGCCTATGTTTCACCCTTTTCATGTGATACCTTGTACAGCCAAGGAAATGATGAACTAGGTTCTGATTCAGATGATGACTTACTGTCACCACCACCATTCCTATACGAGAAGACAGCAAAGCCCATTGTGCATACACCAGAAAAAATCACTACTCCTATGGGTGCAAGCCCAATGTCTTCACCTGTAAAACCTGTAAAAAATGTTATGCAGGAACTTGATGAACAGAATTACAGGTTTTCTGTTAATAAACTGTTGAAAGAGAAGAACAGAAAAGAAGTGAAAAATACGGCACTAACAAAGATTGAAGCTGATCTGGATGCTGGGATCAAGAAAGGAGGAATTAAGAATATGACTGATATGATTAGTGAAGATGAAACAGATTCAGAGGTTGACGGTGAGACAGAATCAATCCCATCTAATTATATATGATTATATCTATTTATTTAGATCAGTGTTCTCCCACTTTCAGTAACCTGGAAGTTCCATGGAATTCAGAGATTTTAATACTCTTGCTCACTATAATGTTGATATTGTCAATTATTCTATGCATTACAGATGGAAAGGATCTTAGTCAGTGCAAATTACCAAAGGAGGTATCAAAACATTTGGTACGAGTAAGCAACTTCTCAGAAGACCTTGTTGGTGAAGATATCTTCCCAATGCTGGATAACAAAATCCTGGTAATTATTAACTAAAAGGGGAAATGGCCAATATCTTTACTGTATCTTCCTATTTTATAAATGACATAGGTGAAGTTTGTACTGCAATTTCATCTGTATCTTTAATCAAAACAAGTTCACATGCTAACTTTAACAGGGTCATGTGGTTGAAAAGAGTGTTTTGGGGTGTGAGGTTTGATTATTTCAACGAGTTACATGCTCAACTGGAAATAGAGTAGTGACCTTTTCTTATTTCATTTCAGGAATATGAGATGCCTACCATAAACATTCCTCCCCCACTTAAAGAAGGAGACATATTCTGCTTGTTATCATCCAAACCTGATGAAATCAAGGAGTTAATAAATGGGGGATGGATTATGCAGTACTATCTCAAAAGGCCTTGTCCTGATCCTGTAGCTGAATGGGTCTTCCAAATCATGTGTTTCTGCCCAGATACATTTGTTAGTAGTCAATGTTTTAAGACTCTGTGGGCTCTGTTGAGGGCTGGTACTGAGGTGCGTTAGGTCAATAAAAGCCTTTTTTATATAGGGGGGTTTGGGAAATGATAATAATGGGAAATACATATAACACATTTCAAAGATGTCTTAATGTGTTTTACATTTGTAATTGTATTAGCAGCCATGCAGCCTACAACCATGAGTGAACTGTTAATATATTAGTATTATGCCTCCAAATGGGATAGCAATTGAACCAGGAGACAACCAAGCTTTTACTCTGCAGCTCATTTGGTAGCTCTGATATGTCTGGTTTTCAAACATTTTATAAACTGGTGTTCTTTCCTACAATATATGCTGTATTTGGTGAAAAGCTTACAGCACAAACATGGCAGCAAGGCATAAGCCTGACCAATCTTGTTGCATGAGAATTTACTCTATCAAATCAACTACCCCTGAAACACAGACATGCTAAGGTTACAGCACTGCCAAACCAATCACATTGCATAAGTAAAACATTCACTCAATCAAAGTCGCAGTGAGACACACATACTGGACCAAGCTGTTTACAATCATACAAAAACTGCTCTAATGTCAATGTTTTCTTTCTTTTTAATAGGAACAAGGTGGAGTACCAAAGGGAGTGAGAGGTATGACATGGGTACCAAGCATCAAGAATATCATCCTTGTCTTACAGCACTATGGAGCCACAATAGAATCTATTACACCAAATGAACTGAAAACAGCTGGGATTTGTCCACCAATACATAATGTGATGAAAAGAGAAGGAGAAACCTTTGATATTTCCAAGTCGACTAGATCTTGTAATCCCCAGCTAGTATTTGTAATGGGACAATTGATTCAGTTTCTGACTCATTGTTTGCATATGGCTCCCCTGAAGTTCACAGTCAATGATCTTCATCTTCTTCTAATGATCTCATGTCGGCTATCACTTGACCTTAGGCTGCAAGAATTCCTTTTTGATATGGAAATGTTAATTTTTGAAATCTTAAATTCCTTTGGGAAATCTCAATGGGAAGAACAGGTGAGTCCTTTTATGATTTAAACCTGTCAGACAGATGTTTCAAATACCAACCCCCACCTTCCCCTGTAGTGACCTGATTAGAAAAATGAAGGGAGGATCCTAGTCATGCCTTTTAGGGTTACAGATCTGGTACCTCTTAGGATATCACAAACCTAAAAGTGCCACAAGAGAGTAAGCCCAGTACCTCTTAGGGTGTTTGTCAGGTAATAAGACAAACAAGATTTGATAACAACAGCTGAAATCAGGCCTGTCACTAGGACCTTGAAAGTCTAGGTTTGTTTTTCTACCAATCTTGCTGTCTTTAATTATGACATTTGTGGTGTAGCAATGAGAGCACTTGCCTCTTGCCAATGCAACCTGGGTTCAATTCTTGCACTCTTCATAATATGTGAGTAGAGATAAAAGGGTAAATTATACACCGTGAAAAGATGAAAAAACTTACTGACGTTTCGGACGCTAGTCCTTTGTCAGAATTAAAGAGAAAGAGGTGGTAGAAAGAAGTGTTTATATAATTAGAATAAGACAAAAGAAACCAATGAGAATAAGGTGGTCAAGAAAAGGAAAAAGACAAAAGTGTTCATTAATCTCGTTGGGACTAAGAGTGCCCATTAGGTGAATAAGCCGCATTTCTTTGGTCTTGCCACAATCATTGTTGCCGTTAATCAAGGATAGAGTTGTTTGTTGATTTTTGCCTGTGCTTCAAGGTTTTATATGGGTCCTCCAGTTTTCGTCCCTCCACAAAAAATAAATTTCTAAATTCCAATTGGATCTAGATAGGGCCTGGATGAAAATTACTCTATGTAATTCTAGTTACCCTGCCAAATTGTGTATTCCTTTAATAAATCATGATATTCATTTTATTTTACAGGTAAAGGAATTGCCAATGTTACTTGTACATTTGAGCACCAATCACCAGGACCTGCTGCACATTCTACATGTAGTACCACTATCAGAACGAGGCTGTCAACTCAGAAAGTTGACCTGTGTTATCCTAATCCATTATTTTGTAAAAGAATTCAGTTCAGAACATGCTATTTCTGACAGCACACAAAGAACTGAAATACTTCAAAGCATAAACAAAACAGCAACTTTTGAGGTTTGTTAAATAATGTTTATTTTTCTATATTTCCAGTACAAGAAGGCATGTTACACATTTGCCAAAGCTAACATTCATTGTGTATCTTGATTTTGGTTTTGCAAAGCTGCATTTTTCTTATGACCTCATGGTTTTTTATGCATTTTTCCTAAAGGCTTTCAAGCTGTTGTCTCTGGTAGATGAAATACAACCAAAGCAAAACTCTAATTATCATCTACTTCATACTATTATATCTCTTTTTGATCTGGCTATTGGTAATGAAGACCATCCTTCATCAGAACAGGTAAAGATAATACCACTGCAATAAGATTACTGTTTCTCCCTGACATTTGAAATGAGTAAATAAATATAGAAATACCTAAGCATTAAAAAGAGATAATTTGCATTTACATTTGGAGATATTGAATTCCAGAAATAAATATAAAATGCCTAAAAACTAGATCACATTGTGCAAAATGAAAACATTGTCTTATTTATGTACTGTAAATTGCTTAGAAAAAAACTGTAATTTGATCAACAATTTAATATATGTAGGTATTCTGTTTACAAAGTATTTCTTCAAAACCGTTTCCTCGCATACTTTACCACACCATAAAAAACACAGACATTAATATGGTATGTTTTTTATTATACTCTCTTCACATTGTGCTGTACTTTGCATGGCAGGGGATGAAAAAGTAGAATGCTTTCTGCCACCACGCAATATCCCACTTTGCCACTTGATGTGCCTTGTGGGATATTTTTGTATTAATTTAGTAAAGTTTTTTTTTATTTTACAGGCTGAGCTTAAAAAGCTGGCTAATAGGCTCAGTAGGTTGAATGGTGACATAAAAGATCCTAGAGCAGCATACCTAGATAGGACAAAGGTTTGGCAGAATGTCTTCTTTATCAGTATTATCAATTTGGTGAATAATTTCCTAATGATTTTGTGCTTAACAGGTAAAGGATTTATTAGTTAGAATGGTCAATAAAATACACTTTCTCGTGCAAGCTATCAAACCAAAAGAGGTAAATAACCTTAGTTTATCATGTATTGATGTCCATTATGATATAAACTCTCAGAACATTTCATTCTATCTGTGCCACAAGTGCTGGAAGTGAGCAGAATTGTTTAATATGCATTTTACCTCTTATTCACTGCTTTGATGCTTAGTCAAAACTCAAAACCATCATACTTTTCATTGCATATCTACAGTATCTATATGTAGAACAGAAGTAAAAACAATTTTTTTTTTTATTAAGTGTATGTTATCATTGTATTCTATTCATTCACTGCTTAATTAAGGTGACTGCCTACTTTTGAGCGTTCGATTTGAGCCCATGATGTGCGTGTGCTCAAAAACAGCTGCAAAATCTACAAGATTTTATTGAAGAACCATACACGTTTTGAGCTTCAACGGTGCAAAACCCTCAAATTTTGCATGGGACTCTCTAGTTTTTAATAGCTCATTAGAAAAAACTAGCTCATTTGCAAATGAAAAAACAGCAGTACTTTCCACAACAGCATTTTTGTATAAATGAGTAGTCTTTAATTTACGTCATCTCATTTGCATATTGATATTTTAAATGTTTACATCTTTGTAAAGAAAATTTGACATACAAAAATACTGCAACCATACTACTACACTATTCACATATAAGTGATTTTGAAAAGGAATTTTTCTTCAATATACACTTTAAATGATACAATTCTCTTTACAGCGAGAAGTAACAGAGTACTTTGAAACAAACAGTTCTGAATATGAAGTGCATACTTTAGAAGAAACATTGCTGGATAGTCCTGTACCAGAAGAAGCTGAAAGTATATCAAGTCCAGGGGAGTATAGTGATGCTAGTAGTGACAAGGAAACTAATGACYGAGTGAAACAATAACATTAGCTTTTTAATTTCAAGGACCCTTGTTTTCTCTCTTTTGTAACGCCACATTACTATTCAGTGATGACAATGATGGTTTTTTTGCATTCATTGTTAAATGATGAAGGGTTATGGAGTAAATTCAACATGATGCTATTTCAAGCTTTCAAAGTTTAAAAAACACTAGGAGTGGTTTTACTTGGCAATGAAAGGATAATTCCATTGTCTTCTTTGTTTTACTTATTGATACTTACTAATCATACAACTTCGTTTCATGGGCCTAGTAAAAGGTCACTCTTAGTTACCCAGAGTTTTCAATAGAAGCCAGCAGTATTTTGATTAAAGTTCCCCAAGATTTAGGGAAAACGTGAGAAAGATTTACTCGCTGTTCCCCACCTATTCATTATATTTTACTGCTTACTCAAGCTGGTATTGAAAACCTTGTGTACAGATGTATAATAATGACTGATGATGTTTGCATGTAGAATCAGAAAAGAACATTTATTATAACAGTTTTGTTTCTTAGATAGATAGATGTAAAGTTTTGCAACACATCCAAGTAGTTTGTCGTTTTTTATTGATAGAGGAAGGAGTAGTTACATCAAGTTATTTTGATTAAATAAGATATAGATGATTTTTTCCTCAAATACAAATCCAATAAAAATGTTATCATGATGATGAATGTGCTACAATAGTTACTGTGCTAGCATTCCTTACAATTTTCCTTTTGCATTATTTGCATTTAATCAAGATGGCTATTGTGAACAATCTGCACCATACGGTAAGGTGTTGTACCACTTAAAGACACCTTACTGTTATGTTATCAACCATTTACTGACACCTTACCGTTATCTTACTGACAACAAGATTTCAATGATAGTGTAGAATAGATGTCAAATACAGTGAGTTATAAAATTGAACTCTCGGTAAACACATTGTAATCCAAGAAAAGACATGAAAGTCCGTTCTTGTGCATGATAAAGAGATATTGAACTGCAGTTTTGTTAAAATTAGCGATCGTGAGTAAATATTGTAATGGTACTACTAGCAAATTGATCCAGTAGTACTAGTAACTCAAACTTGGCAAATATGGGAATGGTATCACCGGAAAATAAATTCAGTTACGAAACATTACCAACACTTTACTGTTACATTACCAAGCACTTACCGACACCTTACCGTACAGTGAGCATTGTTCACAATAGCCAATCAAGATTATGACTGTAATCTAAAACTGTTTTATTAAGAGCTCAAAAGTTAGTTATATTTTGATCTTGTTACATGTATCTTCAATTTTTAATGGCACAGAAAATTGACTTCTTAAATAAAGATGCCTCATGTTTGTCTTGATGTTTTATACTAAACTGCTGGCGTTTGGTTTTTATGCAGTAGTTGACCACCCAAAGCTTTCCATTTTGTCACTGACATGACTGATTCATGCTGATTACACATCTTATTATTTGCTTCAAGACTTTCCAGAAGATGCTGCCATTAGAAGTCATAGTACTTGAAAGATAAAAAAGGAAATGTTTAAGCAAATATGTCATGTATAGGCAGTTGTACAATATCAGTTCTTTAAGGCAGGAGAAAAAGCTATTTCATATTAAGTCCCCTACAAGGTGTAAAGTTCTGCTAACCAATGCTCAAAGTAAACCCCTAAGAAAAAATATCTATTATAATAAATGAGAAAGTATGACAGTGCAAAAATGAAGTTGAATATTAGGGTTAAATATACTCGGGTCAACAAAACGGTAGTGGATGACAATTACCTTAGTTTTGCCGCGGTATGTACCAGACATTGTCCGTGCCCTGTTTGTTGATGCAGGAAGAACAACTGGTTGCACAGTAGATGGTATACAGCTATCACTTGTATTACGACTTCCTGGTACCCATGCCCTATGACAAACCAAATAGTGACACCCTCAGTACTACTATTGGATTCTCAATGGTATAAACCAATCATGACCTTACCGCTGTTTTAATGTTGGAGGTGCTGGTTTTTTTCTTGGCTTTCCTTTATTTTCTGCCCATTTTTGAAATTCATCAGCATTTTTTATTGTCTTCTCATAGCTTTCTTCTTCTTTTTTTGCTTCCTCTACTTTTTCTTTCTTTTTCTTTTCTTTTAGCTGTTGTTTTAGCACAGTGTCTTTCTTTGATTTCCTAATGAAAAACATTCCATCAAGATTTCTTTTCAACATATTTGATGGCTAGTGTACATGTGCTATACATTTTTCAAATGAATATATATATTTAGCATATACCAACTTGTGTACTTCCTAAGAACGCGCACGCTCATTGGTTAATTGGAGCTGAATATTGTACGATATTCACCTCTGAATCTCGGAATATTGAGTCGGCAACAAAATGGCATCTGCCGGCAATCGTTTTGCTACAATTTCTGATGAAGAAATTGAAAAAATGAAAGTAAATGCCATTCCTATCAATACTAAAAAGGCAACGAAGTATGGCCTAAAAGTTTTGCCAAAGGTCTTGCTAAAAGTTTTTCAGGCAAACTAAAAGTTTCTGTTCGTTTGTTTTTATTGAATTATTGTATATAAAAATAAGTTACTCTGTACACAAGTTGGTTTAGAGTGAAGTCATTAAACCCGCGAAATAGAATTAGACTAACACACTTTAGTAGACCCTAATTCCATTGTTTTCTTTTGTGTCTATAGTGACTATTACACGCTGACTAATAATTGTTATTTCACGGGTTAAATGCCTTCACTCTATGCTAAAACAAATATTCGGCTCAGGCTCAGTGAATATGGAGAATATTTACCTTGCYGCTCAAAGACTCGTGTCATGGTAAATATTCCCCGATATTCACTTCACCTTTGGCGAATAATTGCTAAATGTATATATATATATATTTAAAACTGTTTAATTGGGAAATACACATACATGACAGAGYATGCAGTAATGGTGAAATAAAAAATCATTTGAAAAAGTAACTTCGCCACTACTTTATAAATAGTTTTATGTTTACTCCCTGGGCATCCCATATTTATGATGGCTGTGGTATCTTTACGAGGGTCTATTTTTAAGGGGGAGATTATACTACTTCCATCACCAGTAGGTATTATTGTTCACTTACCAATTTTCAAAGGATTTTTTAGAAGACATTGTCTTTTCAAGTTTTTCTTCCTCGTCTTTCTTCTTTTTCATCTTCTCTTTATTCATCCTTTCCTTATGTGTCTCTTTTATTAATGCATCTTTTTTACTTTTCCATGATTCAAAATATTTCTTACTATCTTTTTCTTTCATTCGTCTTTCAAGCTCCATTTTCTCTTGCTCTTCTTTTTGCTTTGCTTTTATTTTTGCATACTGTTCTTTTAATGTTTCTGTTTTGTGTTGGGTCCAGGATTGAAATGCAAGTTGTGCCTACAGAAAAGATAAGGTTATAGCATTGGTCAACTCCAGGATTAGATTTTGGGGATTTCAGAACAGTCATTCTATTCTGATTTGATAAAAACATAACCAACAAGACAAGACGCAAACAACAGGTTGAGTACTTACACTCTTTTTTCTCTCTTCCTCTTCTTTTATTTTCTCTTGCTCTTTCTGTTTTTCTAATGCCTTCTTGGGCAGTTCTTTCTTGATAGTAACCGTCTTTCTTGATAGCCAGTTATCATAGACTGTTTGTCGAATGGTTTCTGTATCAAGACTGTTCCTTCTTTGAGTTGGACTTTCATCTTCATCATAATTTCTGTAATCAGAGTCTCCTATTCTATATAGATTTGTTAAAGAGGAAGACTTCTGTCTCCAGACTGATGGCTGGAAGGGATTATCCAAGTCTTGGTCATCTGTATGTCTCAAAGTTTGCCTAAGATGGGGTGATCTTGTCATTTCTTCAATTCCTTGGTCTGCTTTCATAGGACCTTTCTTGGGTGTCATGGATGATCGAGGTCTTAGTTGATCTAAAGCCCATCAAGAAAGTAAAAGTATAAGTTTTGAGTTGTAACAGTGAACATAGACTGGCTATAGATGGACAGCGACCACCCTCAGTGTCTGGCCTTTACTAATGATTTCTGATGAAGGGTTAGTTGTGGGATGGTTATGGGGATCTTATGGGCTTGGAAATTGTTGCAGTGTACCTCAAAGGGGACCTGAGTCCTATTGTGCTGCGCTAGCCTGCCGGCAAAACCTCAAAATAAACATGAAGTCCAGAGCCTTTAAAAACCTTCTAAAAACAATTACATGACTTCCATGCTCACCATTGAAGTTTTCCTGTCAGTATAAGTTACAATATACAATCATTTCCTGTATTGATTTAGTTGATTGCATCACATATGTTGTAAGCACATGCTAGTATGTCATATGGCAGACAAAACATGGCGTCCATAGTACACAGACTAGTCTAGTTTATGTCTTGAAACAATAAGCATGTAAACACTATAATAAATTATCATGATCATCTCACACAAAAACAACAATTGCCTGACCAACAGACAACCCGTTATAGTCGTAGTAATATTACCTTTGCTATGCCAAAATTGTTTGTGATCTACACCAATCAAATCATTAGAATCTGGGATGTGCTCCTCAAACATATCTGTTATGTCTTCCTCTCTATCCCTACCCCAACCATTGCTTCRGGCTTTACTGCTAACAGGACGCTGAGGTGTGGCATTACCTCTAGCACGCCTGTCTCTATCACTTCGTTCTCTTGTAACACGCTGGTAGGAATCATAGTCAGTAGAGTTTAAATCTTTGTGGTTTAAAGTATTCTTCAAAGTATCATTCTGCCTATGTTGCTGCACATTCCCAAGTTCCCTCCRAGGCTTAGATCTTGGTGAAGGCTTTGGAACTTTGCTTATTTCTTTGTTATTGTTATCATCTATTGCTTTGGCACTGCTTGGTCTTTGTTTCTTAAACAAGTTCACTTTCTTTCCTACTGCTTCATCATCATCACTTTCATCTAGAGATGACCAGTCTAGTGTTTTTCCATCAACCTTGTATTCAGTAAGTCCATTTTTACTTCTATTTGAGACTTGTCCTCCTTTATCAACTATTTTCATGTGTGTTTCCTCACCACTGTCATTATCATCTAGATAGTGCAATTTGGACTTTGATAACATTGACTTAGGAACAATTTCTTTTTCCTGTGATTCCAGTAAGTGTTCTTTTCTAGCCTTTGGAACGGGGACTTTTTTCAAATGTCTGCTTGTATCTTTATCAATTTCTATGTTTTCGTTATCCTCATTGTGTGATTTGTAATCATGTATTCCATCTTCTTGAATATGTTTTCTTGGTTTTGGTGCAGGTTTAACAAAAGCAATATCTTCTTTATCCACAGATTCACCTAATTGAAATGATTTTACCTTTTTTCTTTCGCCTTGCCCTTTGTCCAGTTTGTACCGTGAATATGAGCTTCCATCTGTTTTCTTTAAGATGGAAGATGAGTGTATAATATCTTGGTCAATATACTCATCTTCCTCAGAACTTTCTTTCTTCAGTTTTCCAGAACCCTTTTGAATGCTAGACTCTCTCACTTCCAACTGATTCCTGACCTTAGATAGTTTATGGTTATCTGTCCTGCTATCAACAACAATATCATCATCATCGCTGTCACTAAGGTCATGTTGTGGTTTGCTCTTTCTTCTCATATCATATATATGCTGTTCATGGTCTGTACTGGCTGACTGCTGTTTTTTTGGAGTGACTTCAGGTTTTGATGATCTAGGACTTTCCTCTTCTGATTGAATATTTCCTGACATTTTCCTAGGTTGTGGTTTAGGTTTTGCTTTATGTTTAGGGTGGATGGTTTGATCTAACACATCTGTTGGTTGGTTTACTGATCTTGTTGTCGATGTTTTGAAGTCCCTGGTAGATGACGCTGATTTTAAATGCCTTGCTACAGGACTGGGCTTCTCCACTAGTAAAAACATAATTCATTATATTATGATTTTGAAGTTTTTACAAATATATGGGATGCATAGTACAACGTCAGCACTAAAAGATCCACGTTAAGTGTATATATCATAAGAAGAATTACCAACACCTTTACTCTTGACTTCAGACCGTGTTTGCAAAATATCATCTTCGCTATCAGATAGTTCACTTCTAAACATGTTCAGTAAATCATCGTCATCAGCATTTGGCTTCACGGGCTTTCTATTACTTCTACCCAAAGAGTTTTCTTCATCTGAATCGGACTGTACCGTCGTTGAATCGAAAGACACTCGTTTCGTTGTGAAGCTCATCTTAGACTTGGCGTTTTCTTCTCCATCATAAACCGTTTGCTGCTTGATTAATGGCTTCTTTGAAAAGACACTCATATCATCCACTCACAGCTCAGAATTAAAACACTGAAACACATATTTTAAACTTGACGGTTGAAGTTTGAATATTTTGGTCGCCTTTTTTCATTTTTTCCCGTCTAAATCTTGGGTTCTTGTTTCTCGTAATGCTCTCACACTTTGTCGTTTTTGTATGGTAGCCCTTATTTAACAGTTTTGTGGCAATATAGCTGAAACCAAGGCGTTCAAAATGCAGTACTTTGAATGTTATTATAATGTAATGTATTCATGTCACTTTAGCAACACAAAACAGTCAGGCGCTTGATCTGTACTGCACATGTACTACTGCGCATCCACTTTGTACTGCATGCTCATGTTAGACAACATGGCGGCAAAACATTAAACTTTAAATAAGCTCCACTCTCTTGAATATTCCCAACGACATAGCGTGTCTGAAAAGAAAGTATATGTTTGGGTTTGGGTATAATGTATTTGGACAAATTTGTAGTTTGAAAGAAAAGAAATGCGATAATTATGAACATGGAGGGCTAAGTGTTATAGATGTTCCTGTTCAAGTTGACATCAGCTTGTCTGAAGATGTTGTTAAGATACAGTCATCTTGGACTAACACTTTTCTTCTGAAGAGTGAGTATTATATTCTATGCTCACATATTATCCCATAATATTTCCATCTGTCGATTCATTAATTGTTCCAGTATTCATTCATACATAAGGTTACAGTCAGTCATTTATCATTTATGTTATTATTTCGTTTTGTGCATTGAGTGCTTGGGAAAATTGAGTGAGGGTTTTGCCAAGGTGTAGAATAACTTTGCTGGTATTTACAGGATATAAAATTATTCAGAGTGTCACAACAAAAAGGGAAATTGGGGGGAAAACAAGTCTCTGATGGGAATAGAACCAATGGCCTTCTCTATTCTAGTCAGATGCTCTAACACTAAGTTACAACTATCACCCATAGGGACCTGGGAGAGACCTGGCTACAAAGGTTAACAGTAACCAAAAAGCATTTACTATCAAAGGTCACAAGTAGTGCAGTCTATAAGAGATAAGCCAATAGAGAGTTTTAGATTTACGTTCACGGCAAACGTGAAACGTCAGTTGACCAGTAAAAAATTCTTTTAAATTACTGAAAAACAATCGCAAAAAAGTCCAAGTAATAGAAAAACAAAAGAATATTTGCGCTTGGTGAGGAGGTTTGTAAAAGGTAAAGTAGAATACAGGAAAACTATGAAAACGTGGTCACGTTTGCCGTTTGCAGGGAGAAAAAAAAGTCAATCTAAAACTCTCTAATAGCCACCCCCCAAACTCTGACAGAGATATGCAAAATCATCTATTGCAGACATGAACATGCATATCTTTTGAAGCTACAATATCATATGATATATAATAACTGCTAACTAGTGAAGATTGATAACTGAGAAGTCCCCAAACGACAATAGCCAACTAGTGGTCTGAGGCACTATGATTGCACTAATGAGCTGAGTTAAACTTTGCCTAAGTTTCATTTAACCACATCTACAGGAGACACTTGTTTAGATTATGGCCCATACTAGGTCGTTTAGACCTTCTTGCATTGCCTGCAAACTGTTATGCTCAGATGCATGAATTGATTATGAACTCATAGGTGGATTTTTCTCTCAATTCAATAGAAAATGGTACAGTCACCACCTCTGGATGGATTCCTGGAACAAAAGCTCTTGGAAATGTAAATAATTTTCTTCCTGGTGAAGTTGTACAGGATATTTCCTGCTCATGCAACAAGGTTGCATTACTTTCTAAAGCAAAAAAGCTCTTCCTTTGGAATGATTTCATGCATGAGAATTCATTTCCAACTGTGGTGAAGTTGAAGGAGTCATTGTCAATGATAAGATGTGGAGACCTTCTAACGATAGTCTTGACAGGTATACACAGTCTTTTTAACTATGATACTAATCTGACATTAGAAGGGATAACATAGGGCTACTTAGGGGGTCATGTACAAAGATCTTTCAAAAATGTGACAAGGCATATTACAGCAATGCTTTAGCCTTGTTACCCCTTTAAGATTCAGCTTCCTGATTAACCACTTCATTGGAAAATGAATTTTATTTTAGAGATTCCATAATTCACCCTTGTGCAACTTGTTAAAGCAAATCAACTATCTAACCATAAGACAATATGCATGCTTATATACTCCTCTAATGACATACACCATAAAGTGCACAATATTTTGATATAATGCCAATCTGGCTTGGAGCCCAAAGAAAGCGAACAGGAATGAAATCTCATTCCAAGTTGACTTCACATGGATAGATGTTTTTTTGCTGGAGACTTTTAGTTGCACCTCCAAACAGTTACAAATGAGGTTGAAGATAAAAGGAATAGAATAAATCATGAATAACCAATACTTTGCTTACAGCTGGTACACATCATTGTTATAATATATATACACACATGAAAATTATTCTGTTTTATAGATGATGGACATCTTGGTCAGTTGGTGACTGATAGTTCTACCACGCAGGATGAAGAAGTGTTGGTGTCCTTTGCTGAGATAACATTTTCTCACTGTGTGCAAACTGTGAGTTGTGGCAAGGAACATGTGCTAATACTGACAGACAAAGGAGCAGTATTCAGCTTTGGAGGAGGAAGGTATATACAATATATATCATCTAACTCTAAGTACTATTGTCAATTTGTTTAGTTTTGCTGTCTCTTTTTTTAGCCGAGGTCAAATAGGTAATGGCAGATTAGACCAACAAGATGAACCAAAGCCTATTGAAGCTTTATCAGGAATTACTATTAGAGTCACTTCTTGTGGTGGATGGCATTCAGCTGTCATAACCAGTAAGTAGACAGTCTGTTGATTGGTCCAAATCTGGCTGATATATCTCTGGTAATTTGTTAAGGACATAGCAAGTCAAGCAAGTCATTGATATAAGTTTTAACATTAGAATGCTGTGTCTATGAGGATCTAGTATACATGTACACCTGTTATCGATGATTTTGAATGCTTTTATTTTCTTTTTGGTGCTCATGCTTTTTAGGCCCATGACAATGACAAGTATCACCCCCATAAACATGTTTAAATCTTATTATCCTGATATGCTACTTCCTTTAGTTCAATTTTTGGTCAGACGTTTCTGTAATTACAATAAATCAATACCATATGACAGAAAGTATAAATTTTCAAAACTTATGAATTATTGGGAAATCGATTTCTGGACAAGCATTGCTTTCATGTTGGCTTTTTGATTGTGTGCATTAAAGCTCACAAAGCACTCTGGGAAACTAAGTGTTGCAAAAAAGGAAACAAAAAATAACCTGATATTTTTGTTTGTTAAATTACTTACATATTTTTCTTTAAAAATGTCAAAGGAAAAATTGTCAGATTAGTTTTTATAGGAGACGAAAAAGTACTCAGTTTCTTTTCATGCTTTGCACTAGAGATTTGTCCTCATGCCGACAGCACTCATGCTTTTTTTTAATTACTTTATTTAATAATATGTTCAATCTTGAACTTTAAGGCTGTGGTGATCTATACATGTGGGGCTGGAACAAGGATGGTCAAGTGGGTGTCTCATATAATAATACAGACATACCACAAGAAGTGCCTGTCCAGATCCAGGCAGTTCCAGTTCCTGTAGTTTTTAGTAATGACAGTGTTACTGATGTAAGTTGTGGCTCTAGGCATACAGCAGCAATTACTTGTAAGTACCTAAGTGTTAATACTAAGGATACATCTTTCTGTAAAATGTGTTATTTTGATATTGTCATTAATTTTATAACTGACAGGTAATGGTGAGCTCTGGACATGGGGTTTTGGTAAGTGATATCTACCTGCCATCCTCTTTTGAAATGAAATTCTTTCTAAACTGTTTTTGGCTGATTGCTTTCTAGGATTTTATGGACAACTTGGTCATGGAAGCAGAAAGTCCTGTCGTAAACCAACGATGGTCAAATTTTCCCCCACCCTCTCTACCCTTACGAAAATGACAAAAAAGTCAATTCATTGCAATCACTGGAACACCTTTGTTAGTGTGAAGAAGGATGCAACCAATCACTGATAAGACATCAAATATTAGTAAGGTATAAGAGCATATGAGTGAATAGAATGACCCTAATAACACTCGTTTTCTAGATTATTTTGTGCAATATTTCCAGGTTTATTTGGCAAGAAATAAATTCAAGTTAAAATTTTTAAAAACATACCCCAGTGTTGCGTTTAAATTCTTGTTGTCGTGGTTACACAGGCTTGGATGCCGATTCACTGATTAAAAACTTGTCAAAACATTTCTTCTACTGATGATTTGCAGTGAATTTTAGTCTTACCATGGCAACCATGGCATATTCCACGTACATTGTATAGCCCGCAAATGATTAATTATTAGCAATGTTTTTAGTGCTATTAGTTAAGTCTGTTTGCACTTGAGGTTAATCGTTTTTTCCCTCAAGTAAAGTTGAGAGTTGTTTTAGTTCATAAACTTCAAACTTTCTCCATGAAAATGTATTTTTTATTTAAGGATGTGCAATAAATTCGTCTCGCGATCGTAATCATCCTTTTTTTTATACTAATCATTAAGCTGTGTGGGGTTTGATTATATTTATTATTATATAATCGTATGGACAGGCTGAAAAACGGATGCTTTTGAAAACACCGGCATGTCTGTTTTTCGCATGCGCAGATGCATGCGCAGTTCATTAAACAGGGTTCAGACTAGCGTCGCATTCTGAATTGGAATCATAAGAGGAGCTTATGACCAGTGTGAACTGATAATCCAAAGAAGAAGGATCAGAAGGTTTTCTTTTTCTCACGATTCCGACGCTCGGACGCTAGTGTGAAAAAGGCCCTATTGATATCGTTTTGGTGTGGCGGACGAACAAAAACGTTATAAAAAAAGCTAGTGTGGACGCTAACCATGGAACGAAAACACAGCGTTTCTAAAATGTATTAATATAACACAGGCCCTTAAAATGTTTCCGATATGGAGAGCGTTTTTAAATATATGCGTTTTCGATGGTCTTAAGTGTGGACGGAAGGCCAAAACGCATTGAAAGGTATAGGTTTTCAAACAAAGAAGACGGTTTTACGTAGACGCTTCTACGACGGGTGTCGTAGTTCCTCATCAATGAGACGGTTTTTCTCCCTCCTTGAAAATCAACTTCTAAATCCCGATTTGTTAGCCAAGAGAACGATATTGATTTAGCGTAGACCGACGGGGTTTTCATTTTTTCTTGAATTAAGATTCTTAAAGTTTTTGACCGCTGAAATGCAGTAATTTTCATTACGCTAGCTTACATGTTTGCAATCAATCACGTGACTTTTTGACTGGAGGCAATTTATATGTAGCTAGCAATCGTTAAGTCAAAAGATGTCAAAATTAGTCCTCAAAGTAATCCATCTGCCTATTTCTACGGTCTACGGCCTATAACCAAAATTCAAGATACACAAATAACCTTTAAGATCCTACAATCTTCCAAACACAGATATTACCGGAAGTGACGTGTACTGATATAAAGATTGAATAAATTCTTAGGAAGTAAAGCTGACCAAACAATTTTCTCTGTGAAATATAATTAAATTTGATTTTGCCAGTGTCTGTCTTCCATGATATTAACGAGCTGTCTTTTAGGTTGAGCTATTTCTGGCCATGTCAAATATAGACGATGTAACCGGGAGAAGTGAGGCAGCAAAATGGCGGACCCTCCCTTGTGTGCAGTGACATCCTTTAAGTTTAGCAAAAAAATAATTAGAAAATTTCCTACTAAAAGTTCATCCTTACAGGACTTAACACTGATTCAAAATAAGGAAAGAAAAAACGAGGTATTTTGCTTTCAGTAAAATTTGAAGGATTGAAGGCTTTTGAATTAGAGTACCACGGAACAGCGCGATTAATGTTCACTAAATGGCGTACTAACTACTTTGTGTCTATCATTTTTTGAACAATCTCGTCAGTTTTTGTGACTATTTTATTGCCTCGTAGATTTCATCGGGTTATGTCCGCATGTTGTTCGGATCCGTAACACCACAGAAAGCCCAATAGTGCGAAATCCATAACTTTGAACTGCATTTAAAGACCAAAAGTCCATTTTTTATCATCTAAGTCAACACTGATCAAAGTAATATACCTTAGCAATATTTGAAATGTTCGATTTCATAATGACTTTAAGACTGCCGCTAGTTCTATACTGTTGGACCGCTCTTAGTTTTTCAAAAACTTCGAGTTCACAGACAAATTTGTGGCTCATCATAGTTATTTTATTTGTCTTTGAAAGTGTTATTTACCTTCCTTGTTTATATAAAAACCAATTAAAGGTTTGCGAAGTTGTATCAGGTGTTACACATCTGTGTAATATTTCTACAGCAGGTTAAACTTGATGGTTCGTTATTAGTTGGATGTTATAATTACAAGGGTATAAAAGCAACATATCAAGCTAGGGGCTGCAGAACAGTGGTTGAACCAACATGCTGATGAGATTAATGATGAGGACGGCACATATCCACGTAACAGCTGTTTTTCTGGTACTTTCACTCGTTGGTATGTTTTGCTCGCTTACATTTTCATACTCTTTTTATTTCGATTGCCCTCGTACTTAGGATCATAAAGTAAGGGTAAGTTCGAGCAGATTTTGGATAAATGACGGTTGATAAAACATCTTACCTTCTGACAGGATTGACAACGAGCAATCCTTGCTCTGGATCTTGGACAACCCAAAGACCATGGACCACATCAAGACCAGTTTCTCTGCAAAGTAAGTATTAATATAAATGGATTATTATGAGGTCATTCCTTTATTCAATAACTAAAGCCGTCCTCATTACCAAAAAATAATCATTTTCATTATCTTGTTTGAAAAAGATGGAACATGCAATTTTGATGATATTCAGTGTTGGTTCATACAAAACAGTAAAGATCAGTTGGATTTCACTATTTATCGTGGAAGCACGCCCAGTGTTGCTACGGGACCTTCCGCTGACTACACCTCTGGACATGGTAAGTTGATGTTATTATCATCATCGTCGTCGTCGTCGTCGTCATTATTATTATTATTATTATTATTATTATTATTATTATTATTATCTTCGTTTATTTAAACTTTCAGTATGGGTGATACTTTACAAGAATAAAGCGGAACTTTTATAGTTCTAGGCTATATCCTTAGTGTGTCACTAACAAATGTCTATTCAAAGGTGTAGAATGCCTTAACTAT